TCTTCTCTCTCTCTTTCTCTACCCGTCTCTTCCCCCTCTCTCTCTCTGTCCCTCCCTCCTCTCCCTCTCCCCCTCCTCCTCCTCTCTCCCCCCCACGGATTTGGGACAGGTCTCAACATTCAGTTCAGGCTGGCCTTGAGCTGGTCTCAGACTCACAATTATTCTTGGTGCACCATTACTTCCAGCTCTTGTTTACTTCTGAGGAACCACCACAGTGTTGTGTGTCTTGCCAGCAAGTCACTGCCCACATTTCACCAACAGTTACTTCCCACTTTGGTGCCGATAGCCAGCCATCCTAATCATGCCTGTGAAGTAAACTGTCGTGGATTTGATTTTCACTGCCCTAATGCTTAGTGAGGGTGAGTGAGGTTGGGTGTCTTTTCATCTTATTGGATAATTGTCTTACTTTTGGTGAAATGTCTTATTCAGATCTTTTCTTCTTTTCATATTTCTTTTACTTCTCTTGATGGTAGTGGGGATTGAATCTAGTCCCTTCATATTGAGCTACAAGGTCTAAATCACTAAGTTGCCCAGGCTAGACTCAAAACTTGCATTCTTCCTGCCTTAGCCTTCCATGGTACTGGAATTAATTTGCCTTTTTTTGTGGCTTGGTATGATTAACTTTTAATTAGAATGTTTGTGATACATAATGACTACATTCATCTTGGTTATTTGGTACATACCATGTCATATCTTAATTCTTCTCCTTCCTAGCCCACCCACCTGTCCCCCATCTCTACATCTGTCTTTTATTTTGCATTTTAATGGGGTGTGTGTGTGTGTGTGTGTGTGTGCGCGCATGCGCACGCATTGAACTTGGGACCTTGCATTTGCCAGGCAGGTGCTTATGCCACTGAGCTATGTCCCCAGCCCTAATATTTGTATTTTGAATAGGGTTTTTTGTTTTGTTTTTGAATTATAGTTCTTATAGCAGATGGCAATTTATAAATCTCTTATCCTTTTCTATGGGTTTCCTTTTCACATTTCCTAGTGTACTTTGTCCCAAGTTTTAAAATGTGATGTCCTGTATGTCCGCTTTTTGCTTTCATTGCCTATGGTTTGGTGTCATGTCCAAGAAATCAGTGCCAAAATCCAGTGTTCTGGAGGTTTTTCTCTAAAATTTTTATCATCTTAGCACTTATTTAGCTCTGTGATCCTTTTGAGTTAGTCCTTATAAGTGGTGTCATGCACACACCCAACTTTATTTTTTTGCATGTGAATATCTTGTTTTCTCAGCACTGTCTGTTGAAGAGACTGCTTTTCCCCATGGATAGTCATTATGTCACTCTCAGTAAAAACTCTGACCTGGCTTTAGTTCTGGGCTATGCTTTTTCCTGTTAATCTGTGTGTCTGCGTTACCATGCTGTTTTGAGCCCCCTCCCCCTTTGGTGGCAGGGATCAAACTCAAGACCTTGCCCTTGCCAGGTAGGTGCTTGTGCCATTGAGCTATCTCTGCAGCCTCTACAATATTTTTATTTATGTATTTGATAAGAGTCTCACTATGCGGCTCAAGCTTGTAGTGATCTTCCCATTTCAGCCTCCCCAGCATTGGGATTACCAGCGTGTGCTATCACGCCTGGAATCAGGGACCAGCACGGCTTTCTGGGACAAGCACAGCATGTAGTACCAAGGATCAAACCTGGGTCCTTGTGCTTGTCAGGCAGACACTTTGACTGCTGAGCTGTCTCCCCAGCCCTTTATAGTATTTTTGGTAGTAAGCTTCCATTTTATTTTCTTTTTAGTCTTGACTTTTTTTCCTTTTGTAAATATTTTTATTTTTTATTTTTTTAATAGATTGCAAATTGAAAATAAATTATTTACAAACATAAATGAATATAACAATAAAAATTGTCCAAAATAAAAATGAAGAATTTACATATCAGTCATAATAGTTCACTGTGTCAAAACCAAGAAACTTATATTCATATAATTAGAATTCTCAAAGTAGAAAGGAGTAGGCAATAGATATTTAAAGATTTAAAATTTCTGAATTTAGTTCAACTTCTAATACCACATTTCCAAGAAAAATGAACCTTTTGCACAAGAGATTTAAATAAAATCATACCAAGATACACAAAAATGAAATAGTCCAAAACTTATTGTAAAGAAAAAAATCATTAAAGCATATACATAAAAAATATTAGCTATGGAAGAACAAAATTAAATAGCAAGAAAAAAAAGGACCAAATGTGTAAGAAACTAGACTAATTAAAGAACTGAAAGAAAAGATCTTTGAATTTTATACTTAGTAAACATACCTTTGAAAACTAAAAGTAAGATTTCTAGTTAAACAAACTGGAAATATTTTAATACCTCCAGAAGTAGCATATAGGAAATAACAAAGAGCATAATTCAAAAGGCAAGAGAAGTTGCAGTATGGTCTTGGATAAACAATAGAGAGCTCTCAATATGATAGTTATGCAGGACTATATAAAATATATTAGATGAACCCTTATTTAAAGGTCATTGAAGATTTCTATCAAACAGTACCAATCTTATGTTGGATTATACACATATTTTTTTTTCATATATATGTGTGTGTATGTGTGTATAAAAGACAGGGAAGAAGTAGTATAAAGTCAACAGAAAATGGAAATATACTTTTTAAAGTTCCTAATACTAGGAGAAGATATACAATGTCTTTTAAATAAATTGTAAGTAAAAGATATAGTATAAATCTTAGAACAGAAATTAAGATTAAGCAATATTCAGAAAATTAAATACTAATTAATTAAAAATTAAATGTTTCAAAACAGTTGAACTAAGAGAAAGTTTTCATGCTAGCAAAGAAGTACTAAGAGTAAAACATAAGATAAATACTGGAATGGCAGGTAAATGACCAGCACTTCTAACAGTTTGAGGATAGGATATTGCACAAAGTTCTAATGTGTTGTAGACATGCATAATGACTGTGACAGTTACTCGTGGCTAGGCGTCACTTGTGGAACTGAGCTACAGCTATTTCTTTGAAATCCCCCTGTAGACTCAGGTGGGATCATGATCCATAGGGTGGAAGAGATGTCCTTGTAGAATGTGCTGATGGATATATTTTGCTGCTGAACACAAAAGAATAACTGAAAGACTACTATTATATACCTCTTATTCTCCTGTGTTTTAATTGTTTGCACTATTTGGTGGGTTCTTCTCATTCATGGGGCTGTGATCAATTTGCTCCCTCTCTAGAACATCATTTAGTAGTCTGTGTAGCCTTGGCTTTGTCATCATGAAATTCTTTAGTTGTTCTTTGTCATGGAAGTATTTCACTTCTCCATTATACTTGAAAGAGAGTTTTGCAGGGTATACCAGTCTGGGTTGGAATTTGTTTTCTTGCGGGACTTGAAGTACTTTAACTCCATGCTCTTCTTGACTTGATAGTTTGTGAAGAAAAGTCTGCCATTACTCTGATGGGTTTTCCTTTAAATGTGATCTGTTTCGTTTCTTTAGCGGCTTTTAGTATACTGTTCCTATGCTGAATTTCTAGGATCTTGATTATTATATGTCTGGGTGTGGTTTTCATTGGGTCGATGTTATTTGGAGTTCTATATGCTTCGGTTACAGGAATGTCAGATTGTTGTCCCATATTTGGGAAGTTTTCTGCTATTACTTCTGCCCATATTCTTTTTATGTCATTTGTATTGACTCCTTCCTTCTCATTGATGCCTGTTAGTCTCACATTGTTCATCTTTGCATCGTTTTGCAGGTATTGAATTATTTTTTCCTGCATCCTAGTTGTTTTTAAGAGATCTTTTCTTTTTCACTAGCTGCAATGGTGTCTTTAAGGTCAGAAAGTCTATTTTCACTTTCAAGTGGTTTTGCCAGCTTATGATTGAGGTATTAATTTCCTGTATATCACTTTGAATCTGTTTTCATACATTCTATTTCTTTCCTGAATTGCTTATTCAGGGGTTCCATCATTTTTATATTCTGCTCTATTTTTTATCAATATATTCTTTAGAAGCACTTAGTACTTCTTTGATTATAGTTATCACTACATTTCTTAGTTCAGAAATTATTTCTCATCTGATTTCTTGTATACCTTTGTGCAGTTGTTTCTTTACTGCCTACGCTATTATTTCAGAGATATCAGTTGTGTGATTTCCACTTTCCTCTATGCTAGTGTCTTCTGCATTTGTACTGGGTGGACTTGGGGCCTGAGACTGCATTTTGTTCCTTCTCTTTGTCATTTTGTATATACCACTGTCCTCTGACCTTTGATGTAGAGCTTAGATAGAGTTATTACCTTAGCACCAGGTCCGGATCTACAAAGTTCAGATTCCTCCAGGTGGGTGTTGCTTGGATCTGGCTGGGGTCTGGCTGCTCTGCTCCACTTCTTTCTGCTGCAGCCTTTGGAGTTGAACCCTTTGTGTCTCTCTGGCAAGATTTTCTGCTCCTGAATCAGCTGGGTGAGTCTTGCCTCCAGCCTCTTTGCAGGGAGTTCTGCTGAAGGGTTTCACACTGGGCCTGCACTCTGGGTCGAATGAGAATTCAGTGGGCCCCAGGTGGTCTCACTCATACACCGGGCCTGTGCTCTGGGTCTGTCCGGGATTTGGTGGCCCTGGGTCCTCTCACTCACATGTCGGGTTTACACTCTGGGTCTATGCAGGATCCGCAGGCCCTGGGTCATCTCACTCACACGCTGGGCCTGTGCTCTGGGTCTATTCGGGATCCCTTTAGTCTGATTTGTGTGCGGTTTCCAAGGTAAGACTTCTGTTGTGTAACCCTGGCTGGTTTGGAACTGGCAACAAATCTCCTGCCTCAGCCTCCTGAGTGCTAAGTACTCCCTCTTTTTTTCTTATTTAATACTACAGAACATGATGTTTCTCTTGGTTAGGGGTTGACATCAGGAAACTTCATCGCCACTTGGCACCATTGTGGTTTGGTTTTATTGCTACTGTGGGGAGTAGAGTTGTGTGAAGCTATCAACAAGACTGCATGATTTGAACTGTCTGACTGTACATCAGAGGACCTCAACTGACTGACCTTTTCTGATTTCTCTTCAGAATGGTCAGAGTTTTTTGGTCTTGGATGAACAAAGATTTGCAAAAGAAATTCTTCCCAAATACTTCAAGCACAATAACATGGCAAGCTTTGTGAGGCAGCTGAACATGTGTGAGTATGGGTAGCCACTTACTTGTGGTGCTTGACGAAGCCTTTTTTCATTTGGATGATAGAGGGAAACATTTGTAGCATGATCCTTCATGTTTAATTTTTGTCTCACTTTAGTCTGTGAAATTTGAATCTCTTCCAGATGGTTTCCGTAAAGTAGTGCACATTGACTCTGGAATTGTAAAGCAGGAAAGAGATGGTCCTGTTGAATTTCAGCACCCGTACTTCAGACAAGGCCAGGATGACTTGCTTGAGAACATTAAAAGGAAGGTGAGCTGCCGTTAACGTAAATGATCTAGAATATCAATACACCAGTTGTTGAAATTAAGACTGTACAGAAATGCCCAGGTGTTCTTACTGGAATGTAGACTCGGAAAGCTTGAAGTGTTGCCAGCCCCTGCCCAAGTCCCTGTCCCTACCTCATGCTCAGCTGTGCCCAGACTCTACTTCATGTCTAGAGGGCTCACAGCGTTGGGACGGAGAGAAGAGCTTTTTTGTAATTGGATGGATCATCCTGAGTCAACTGAAAAGTAAGCTTTTGCTGGAATAGCAGCTTATGGACAACTTTTCCTGTGTAGATCCCTGTTCCATGCTGCATGCCCAGAATGAGTACCTCGTGTGGAGTGGGTGTGCTGTATTACATTTTTAATGAATGGTACCGTGTGGTACATTAAATTAAATGTGGAATGAGTTAATGAAACTTGGGGGAATTATGGGAAGTTTGGCAGAACGGAGAAATGAAAAGGACCCTGTGACGTTCCTGCTGTTGAGAACTTTCCTTTCAGAGTGATGATTCCTTGTTTCCACTCCTGTTGAGTTGTGAAGAGATTTTCTCTAGAATTTTGTCATGGGCTTTTTGGAACCAGATCTTACTTCTAAATAAGCTGCGAAAACCTTTTAGTAGAATAGGTTTGAACTGTGATTGTGGGTGTTCAGTGTATGCTTGATTTTCTACATTTGCTCTTTGGAAGGTTTCATCTTCAAAACCAGAAGATAATAAAATTCGTCAGGAGGATTTAACAAAAATTATGAATAGTGCTCAGAAGGTTCAGATAAAACAAGAAACTATTGAGTCCAGGCTTTCAGAATTAAAAAGGTAAGGTATTTTCAAATATAAAGTGTATATTGGGGGTTGAAGGTTGTATGGTATTTTAAGTAGTCACTGTTGAAGCCAAATCAAAGGTCGTTTTCCTGCAAGTGTTGGTTCCCTTTTGATCAGTGGCCATAGACTTTATCCTAATTATATGTGTTAATTGATCAGAAGAACATACAGTAATGAGTACATCAGAATAACTTGATACGTGAGTTTACTGATAGAACAGTACCAAATCTTTATGTTAGTGTAAGGGCTACAGTTCTACATAGATGAACTTTCACACAAATGAGGGCACACATAAAAATACCCTACACATTGCCCAACCTCTCTTTTGTGGCTGTTTCATAAAATTCCTCTGTGTGACCTACCTCTTAGGAAAAAGTAGGACACGAGAAATAGCAAAGGAAGGACACAAGAGGGTTGCCCTACTTTAATACTTCACTTGGGCCTGGGAAGGTGGCCTTTCATCTTCAGAAAGTTGCTTTATTTGGTTTTACTACTTTAGGTGGTAGCATTTTCCTAACTTGCCATAGTAATACCTTGTATTTTATTCTTCATAGTAGGTAGCTGATACTTTCCCTCAAGAATTGACAGGGGCTTGAGGATGGCATGTTCGTGTATTCTTTCTCCCATTTTCAGTGTGGGACATAGATATTCCTGAGTCAGTATCCTCAGGAGTAACCCTGGAATTTGAATCTTTTCTGCAATAGGCATCATGCTTTCCATTGTTTCATATTTTGTATAAATGCAGTTTTCTTTTTGTCTGCAAGCTTTCCCTGGATCCAGTTGTTTGCATCTTAGTTTACCTCTTCAGGAAATGGATCTCAAATTAGCCTTTCAGATTTTATGTCCTATGCTTATAAGCAGATAACCCATCTTTAAATATAAGTCCAAAAATTATAGCAGTTATTAAGCGCTAGCAAAATTTTCACCTGTGTATATAAATCCAGTCATTTTTCGGATAGTCTCACTTAAGGATGGTGGCTTTTGTGAAGGTTTTCAAAATACTAAAAGTTAAAATTTCTGATAGCTGGATATCTTTCACACTTAAGCATATCAGCTCTGCTTATAGTTAATATTTAATTGAAGTTCCAGTAACAGATGAAGCAAAAGAAACTGTTAATATTGGCAGGTTGCTAGTTTGCTGTATCATTGCATATATCTATATATCTTATGTTTCTAAATAAAGTGTCTCGTAGTGGGTTGTATATGCTTGGGTTTGAGCCAGCTCTTACAGAAGTTTTAGAGTCTGATGTATAATTTAGTTTTCTTCAATAGTGAGGGAATTATCTGTGTAATACTGAGCTTTTTCTCTCAGTTTTCTGCACTCCAGGATCCTCACTCAAAATACAGTGCTTCCTTTCTTGGCAGCTTATGGTGAAGTTTAAATAAGTAGCACACATAAAACGTTAAGACCTGGACCATGCTTCCACCAGCACGTGCAGAAGCTTCTCTTGCCTTCCTTCCCTAAAGTGAGGCGCAGGGTCAGATCTGAGTTAGTAACCATACTGTGAGGGTTAGCTTATTCTCAAACATGTAGTGAAACAGACCTTTGACCTTTAAAAGGAATGGCTTGCCTCGCACTGTGTGAATGTAGGTGTGTGTCTGAAGCTTTGCATGTGTTGCCCTGGGTGGAAGGTGCAGTTAAGGAGAGATTCTGAAACATAGTGAGTTAGGTGCTGTTCCTCTGTAATCAGAGCTGTTTCCTAGTCTCCTAGAAAGGGGCAGTAGAAGCGAACAATAATAACAACAATAACATTGTTATTATTAAAAGTAATCAGGCTTGGCTCTCCGATTAGATTTTTGTTGGTTTTGTCTTTCATAAATCGCAGTGAGAATGAGTCCCTTTGGAAGGAGGTGTCAGAATTAAGAGCAAAGCATGCGCAGCAGCAGCAGGTCATTCGAAAGGTAAGAAGCTCTTTGCAGTTACTGAAACCTGCATTGTTGAATGAGTACTGTTTGAACCAGAAATCTACTGGGTAGTCAGTAATTTAGCTTAGTTTTGTATACACAGAGCTAAAATTACCAAATCTAACCATCTTAGGCCACTGTTTTGTATCCCTTTTAGCAATAACGAAAACATTTTGCTAAAGATGGTCATACCATACTTCTAGATAACATCTTAGTTCTTACAGTGGAAAGTGGTCTTTTGAGGTACTTAAGTCTTAGAGGCTTCATCCACTACCAGCTTCTTAGCTGATTTTTTAAAATTATAGAACAGGCTTTCTGTGTTTTGTTTTTAGCTGTATTTTCAGCACTAGGCACAGTTAATAGTCATGTCCTTTGAGCAGACTGCAGGTGGAGAGTGCAGTGTGAGTAGGTGGCACGGTTAGCATGTGCTGGGGTGCAGCTGTGCTGAAGACAAGTGGGGCTGGCCCCCGGCTCGCAGGCGGTGTTGAGAGGCTGTCCTCACTGGCCATCTGCCTTGCTTAGCAAAGGTCTGCACAGCAACTATGATTTCCAGTGAGTAAATGGGACAGCGAGCAGCAGGTTCTCCGGAGGGGAGGATGGGGGCTTCAGGTGGGCAGCAGTTGCACCCTGGGCTCCCAGTCAGCAGTACAGGTGGTTTCTTAGCATCAGCGTGCAGATGAGGCCTGGAGGTAGCAGAGTTCAGTGCCGTTTACAGAAGACCGTGGACTGTTTTGAGCTTCCTCTTACTGGTCCATGTTTGCGTATATATTGTGTGTACCCTTATGTGGCATTAGTTCATGAAGTGTGTGTTCTGACAACCTCTGCAGGTGTCTGGAATGACTAATCTGATTCAGCACATTGGATCTAAAATTCCGCACCCATTTTAATCTGTTCTACTTTATAGAAGAATTCTGTTAGTTACTATTTGAGAACATAATGTTTTGGTCAAATGTTAATTTACAGTATTCTGCAATATGTAGATCTTTTTCCTAAAAACGAAGGTAGTTGGTAAAATAGTTGTATTACATTTCAAGTTTTCATAGAAGATAATGTATAGTCAATTTTGCTTTTGAACTGTTTTGGTGAGTAGAGTTACATAATGCTTGTTGAGAACAAGTAATTTTTTAAAGTTTGCCCTTGGATTCAGTGAGAGTGATACGTGTGAGACCAGTTAACTCTTCAGGTAGAGAAGCTATGTGCTATAAATGTAGTCCTTTCAAAAAAAAAAGAAAGAAAATTGCACAATGTAATACCAGTGTGTGCAGAGAAAGTTGAGGTGAAGAATAAATTTAGGCAGTGATTCATGTTCTCATAAATCTAACCACTGGCATTTCTAAAATTTTCCTACGACACAAGTGTTAAAAGGTTGAAGTTGAACTGTTAGTTGTCATGATTACGTTTCTGTCATTGCTGAGACAAAGTACCTAACACCCGGAATAAGGAAGCAAAGGTTTAGTTAGTGCACAATTAGTGGAGGTTTTAGTCCATAGTGGGCTGGCTCTAAGACAGTGGCACATGGCAGAGGACCACAGTTCATGGTGGTGGAAAACAGAGAAAGCAGCAAGAGAAAAATGGAGGAGCAGCGGCAGAGGGCAGCCTCTCCCTTCCTTATTTGCATTCCCGCTATCTGCCCCAGGCAGGTGTTGCACTCACACACATAATCCTGGCGGCCAATCATAAATTATTCACAAACCACAAACTGGAAGTCTGCCCCACGACTGCATGAGGCTTGAGGTAGGGGGTGCCAACTAGACACAACCCATAACTGCTTTAATGTTGTATGTTCATCACCTCTCTGCATTTTCTTTTCAATAGTTTAGGGGCTTTGTTGTACTTTTTGCATTTTTGTCCTTTGAATATTTGATATTGACTAGAGCGGCAGACAGTTTAGTAAGCAAGCCTCTTTGGAGAGGAATGTGCTAACTGATAATGCTCTTTTAATCTTGAGACTATGTGGGAATTTCAAGCCAGTCTTCCGCAGCCTCGTTAGTCCCCCACTCACTTTCAGCCTTTGTCCTTCACTTGTCTTTTACCTTATGGTCTCAACACTTTTAGCACATGAGGATTTATAATAACCAACTTAGCTGTGCCCTGTACCAGCAATTCTTGCACGGTATTGTCACCTGGAGGGCTCACTAAGCCTCAGCTGCTCTGAACTCCAATTACTTCCGGAATTTCTGGAGATTTTTGTGTATGCTGAGTCCCTAGGCCAGTATTGCCAGGCTGCAGGCCACACTTTAAGAAAAGTGCTATAAAATATGAAGGCTTGTTCACATTGTCCAGGTGCTTTCCCTCTAAATTTAAACAGGTGTTCAGGATTTAGTCGTTGTTCTTGATTGTAAATCAGAAGCATTTTTGACAGACACATCTCAGTAGTAATCTTTGCAGCATCAGGCAGAAAATGTTTTGTACCTTAAAGGCATATGATCTATTTTGAGAAAATTGGCCATTCCTTTTGCCTGTAATTGTATTATTTAGTGTAATGTTACCTATCAAACAACTTTTATTTTGCATTTTAATGCAGTCATCTTGAAACTTTTAAATAAAAAGTTGGGACTTGTGGCTAGTCAAGTTTGGTACAGTCTCAAGTCAGCAGCTGCTGACATTGCCAGTCATGCGGATAACCCAGTACTGTTATGGACTACTGGACTGTGTTGGGTTACTTTGCTGAGTTCATGTACCTACAGTATAGAAATGGCAGTGGAATACCCATCTCTCACAAAAGTAAACAGGAAAGGGGGATATGAATGAAGGTCCATTTTGTAGTGAAAAAAAAAATGTGTATCTGTATATACAAGATAGCATAGGTATATAGCTACTTTCTCTTAGTTCAATGAAAAGAAAGTTTTGAAATGATAGTGTTCAGACAAGATATGTCTGCATCTTGTGCTATGAATACTACAAAGACAACATGCAATATATTAAGTATTGTAACTGTCCTGCTAGCCTGTTCTGAAACTGTCTCATTGCTACTTCTTTCTCAATAAAATTAATATAAAAAAAGTTGGGTACTGTCGTCAAAGCAGCTCTGTGGAAGCTAATGCGAGCGGTGCCCAGTTGTGAGAGGTATTCAGATTTCCAGTATAAGCACATGGGAAATTCTGTGACTTGGAGTAGAGGGCGTATGTTGTCAGGCTTGCTCTATAGGACTTCTGGATATAAGGAATGAGATTGGGGGGAGAATTTTTATTTTCATTTTCTTTTCAGATTGTCCAATTTATTGTTACATTGGTTCAGAACAACCAACTTGTGAGTTTAAAACGGAAAAGGTAAGTCTTTATGATAAAATGTTTTGACATGTGCGTGGATGTTTTAGTATTTAGCTACAAATGGCCTGCAGTGCTATATATATTTCTGATATACTAAAAGAATGGGCCTTTCTTGTTAAGTTATACTTGCATCCTCAGAGTGGTCTTGCAGGTGGAGTGTTCCTTACTAGTATATTTGAGATCAGAAGTGACTTCAGATGTTTGTACATTTGGGGATATTTACAACTATGAGGTGTCTTTGGGATGGGCTGTAAGTTGAGTGAGAAATGTGTTTCATACACTGCATGTCACCTAAAGATAATATGCAATGTTTTTAATATTTTATGCATGAAATAATACATACCAAACATGCCTAAAGGTGCTCAGAGCATCGACACTGTCATGTGCCCGAATTTGCCTGGCCCGTCCCATGAGGTCACTTGTGGAGCTTTTCCTTCATGGGATCCTGTTGGTGCGCAGAAAGTTTCTGATTTTGAAGCATTTTGGATTTTTTTTTGGCGGGGGGCGCTAGGGATGCTCAACCTGTACCTCTTTCTACTGTCAGCCTCTGATGTGTTTGAGAGGTAAGAACAGCATAAGTGGCCACTTGATAGGCAGACATACAGTTCACTAAACAGTTAGTTCATAAAGAATCGAGTTTTTGTTTACATTAGCAGTGTAAAGGAGCATGAGGGCCCATGTGAGGGAGACTCTGAAAAGAGACCATGTGTTACAAAAATCAGATTTTATTTTTTCTCTTAA